GCCAAAGACTGTAGACCTCGCTCAGGGAGAAAGATCTTGGGGTGAGCATAACACCGAGCACATCTCCGGAAGCACACATCAGCCAGATAACTGCTGCAGCATATGGGTGCCTGACAAACCTGAGAATAGTGTTCTGATACCTTAGTAAGTAATCGTTCAAGACTGTACTCAGTGTATGTCAGGCCCATACTGGAGTATGCAGTTTGGAACCCACACCTGGTCAAGCACATCAAGAAATTAGAGAAAGTGTAAAGGTTTGCAACAAGGTTAGTTCCGGAGCTCGGGGGAATGTCCTACGAAGAAAGATTGAGGGAAATCGGCCTGACGACACTGGAAGACAGGAGGGTCAGGGGAGACGTGATAACGACCTACAAAATATTGCGGGGAATAGATAGGGTGGACAGAGACAGGATGTTCCAGAGAGGGGCCACTGAAACAAGGGGTCACAATTGAAAGCCGAAGACTCAGACGAGTCACAGGGATGTTAGGAAGTATTTCTTCAGTTACAGAGTTGTCAGGAAGTGGAATAGTCTGGCAAGTGATGTAGTGGAGGCAGGAACCATACATAGCTTTAAGACTAGGTATGACAAAGCTCAGGGAGCAGAGAGAGAGAGAAGACCTAGTAGCAATCAGTGAAGAGGCAGGGCCAGGAGCTGAGTCTCAACCCCTGCAACCACAATTAGGTGAGTACATGCACATACACGTGTGCACGCGCATGTATGTAGAAGAGTGTGGAAACTTAAAAAAGCTTTCGGAAACCTAAGCAAGGATTTATTAGCAGCACTATATACAGTATGTGTCAGGCCCATAGTGGAGTATGCAGCACCAGACATTAAGAAACTGGATAAAAAGCAGGGGTTTGCAGTGAGACTGGTCCCAGAGCTAAGGGGTATGAGCTAAGAGGAGAGGCTGAGGGAGCTAAACCTGATGACATTAGAGGACAAAAGAATGAGGGGTGATACATGACTTACAAAATAATGAGAGGAGTTTATAGGGTGGATGGGGTAGAGTTTTTGAGACCAAGGAAACAGGAACACAAGTACAGCTGGAAGTTTAAAATACAGCCTTAGAGCAGTTAGGAAACAGAACATCCTACCAAGCAAGATTTGTACATAGCTTAAACCTTAAACTTCTTATCATTAACCATTTCAGGGTTTACGACGTACTAGCACGGCTTACGCACCAGGGTTATTGAAGTACTAGTACGTTTAAATTCTAACGCCTTCAAATCTAGCGTGAGAAAGCTGGTAGGCCTACATATGAAAGAATGGGTCTCTGTGGTCAGTGTGCGCAGTATAAAAAAAATCCTGCAGCACATAGTGCGTAATGAGAAAAAAAAACTTTGACCGTGTTTTTGGATTAAAACAGCGACTTTGCACTGTATTTTCATATGGTATTTATGGTTGTATTCTAGTTTTCATAGTCTCATTTTATAGAATGGAAGACACAGAAATTGAGATGATTTTGACTGGTTTCATGATGAAAAGTACCTTGAAATTGAGCTCAAAGGAGCAGAAATGTTCAATTTTTACCAAAGTTCAAAAGTAAACAAATCATGCCAAGCGTCCAATACACGTCAACTGGTGAGTCTAATATTCTTTCACAAGTGCGCTGATATTATTTATACCATTTCTACACTAATGCAGTAGTCTGCATAACAGTAAATCTTCTATTTTTTTGTAAGAATAAAAATTCAAAGTGGAAAGCAAAAGAAATAAGAGGGGCCTGGGGACATGACTAACGAACAAAGAACTTGTTATTTTAGTGCCAGGAATGTCCTTCGTGTTTATTCTGGACCCTATTTGGAAATTGGCATCTTCTAAAATTTGTGTGAAATTGGCAAAATTGCCAATTTCTAACCACTTTATTGGATAGTTGAAATTGGTAAATGGGTGGTTTCTTGTACTCATTCGATAGAAAAAAATGGAGTTCTAGCGAAATAAATATGATTTTTGCTGATTAGTACACAGGAATTGGCCAAAAATAGGGCTCAAAGTGGGCGGAATCGCCGGTGTAAACATTGGCGAGACTGCTAACTTCGCGAGAGCATAATTCTGTAAGTTTTCCAACAAATTTCATACTTTTGGTGTCATTATGATCAGGAAAAGATTCTCTATCATTTCATAAGAATTTTTTTTTTTTCCCGAAAAATCTTCGACCCTGAGAACAAGTTTAGGAGAGGGCCTCTCGACCCTATCACCTAGTTAGGATATAGTTAAGTGTTTTCAGTCTCTAAAAAAAGTAACTCATATCTCTTGGCTATAAGAGGCATTTGTAGCATGTCTTGGAACCTATCTTATCTACATGGTACTTTTAGGTGTGAACATAACACTACCACTACATTTTTCCAATTCTGACCTAATGTAGTTGTATGCAGCTCTTTTTAGCTTTTCTTAGCCCATTTATATTGTCCAGAGAAAAGGTTTTTAACAAAATATTATTTCACAGGAAAAGTGACTGATCATGTGAAAAGTAAACTTGAAAAACTGATCTGGGAGACAGTCATAAAAGCTAATTGTGCCGTAATCATGCAGTCCCGTGTTTACCCTTTCAGGGTCGAGAGCCCCGATCCTGACCTCGCTCTCAGGGTCAAAAAATTAAAAAAAAAAAAAAAAATCTCATGAAATGATAGAGAATCTATTCCCAATGGTAATGACACCAAAATTATGAAATTTGATGGAAAAGTTACGGAACTGTGCTTTTGCGAAGTTAGCGGTCTCGGCGATATTTACACATCGGCGATTTCGCCCAATTGGAGCCCTATTTTTTGCCAGTTCCAATGTTCTAGTCAACTAAAATCATAGCTATTGTGCTAGAACTCTATTTGTTCTATCAAATGAGTACAAGGAACCTCCCATTTACCAATTTCAACTACCCAGTGAAGTGTTCAAAAATTGGCAATTTGACCAATTTCACACAAATTTCAAAAGATGCCAATTTCAAAATAGGGTCTAGATTAAGCAAGACAGACATTCCTGGCATTAAAATAACATTTTCTCTGTTCATTAGTCATGTCTCCAGACCTCTCTTATATTACTCTTGCTTTCCATTTTGAATTTTTATTCTCACATTATTGTAAAAAGGATATAAATAATATCAGTGCACTTGTGAAAGAATATTAGACTCACCAGTTGACGTGTATTGGACGTGTGGTGTGATTTGTTTACTCTTGAACATCGGCAAAAATCAAACATTTCCGCTAATTTGAGGTTAATTACAAGGTACTTTTCATCATGAAACCAATCAAAATCATCTCTATTTCTGTAATGTATCTTCCATTCTGTTAAATGAAACCAAGAAAACGAGAATACAACCATAAATACCATATGAAAATACACTGCAAAATCGCAGCACTGTGTGCTGCAGGATTTTTTTTTTTATACTGCGCACACTGACGACACAGACCCATTCTTTCATATGTTGGCCTACCAGCTTTCTTCCCCTTGATTTGAAGGCGCTAGAATTTACACAAACAAGTACAGCACTGACCATGGCTCTCAAAGCCGTACAAGTATGGCACCAACCCTGAAAGGGGTAATAGTTATGTACCCACTTCAGCTGTATTTTAAAATTGTTGAATATGTTGACAATTGATAATAAGAGTGTGATAAGTTGTTAAATGATAGTTGTTTCATGAAGATGTGATGTTGGCTGAGGTTTAACTTTAACAAAATAGCTTCTGTTCGAGTGCTTATAGGGTCACAGTGTCACCACAGCTTATGTCATATTGGCCTGTATTGGCCCTCCACACCACTGGGAGTAGGCTAGGATGGCTCAAGCCATCCTAGCCTTTAAGAATCAACAACATCCAGCTTCATTTTATTACCATATTACTGCATTTTTCTTGATTATTACTTTCTTAAATACCTTCACATTTAGTAAATATTTGTATGGTATATACTTGTGGTGAGTTCCTGTATGTTTAGTACTATTTGGTGAGGAAATGTGGTTCATTTTTGCTGATCTTGTCGTTGATGGCAGGTAATTGTGGTGGTAGCTGAATACTTCCTGCCACATGTTTACACAGGTATTGTACAAGGCCACATCAACACTCTCTACACACTTAAGAACATAAGAAAGAAGGAACACTGCAGCAGGCCTACTGGCCCATGCGAGGCAGGTCCAATTCTACCTTCGCGTCACTGCCTTAAGCTAGCCAGGTCAGGTCACGTTCCCTTAAGGAAGGAGCACGGCATCTGACCTAGTAGCACAAGCTAGTCAGGTCAAACTCATACCCACTTGTGTACTTATCTAACGTATTTATAAAACTATGCAATGTCTTAGCCTTTTGACGGTACTCGGGAGTTTGTTCCACTCATTCACAACTCTATTACCAAGCCAGTGCTTTCCTGTATCCTTCCTGAATCTGAAATTTTCCAGCATAAAGCCATTGCTGCAAGTCCTGTCTAGGCTAGTTATTTTTAGCATGCTATTTACACATCAAAAATTCTTGTTTGTAGACTCAAGAAACATAATCGTATTTTTGCCCTATGTTATTCATTTCAGTTCAAGCTATTTTTCTGGAAAATAACTTGTATGATAATTGGAATTTGACTGTACAGTGGTACCTCGGGATATGAACCTAATTCATTTCAGAAGGCTGTTCGAGTGCCGATCTGTTCGAGTACCGAACGAATTTGTTCCCATAAGGAATAATGTAAAGTAGATTAATCCGTTTCACACCCCTAAAAATACACTTACAAAAGTACTTACATAATTGTTCAAGTTCATATCCCAAGATTCCACTGTATTTTGAAGTTTACCAGCGTAGCATAAATATTTCTCAAACTTTATTTAGGATTTTTCTTCGACCCTCTTGCCACATTGGAAATGTCATTTTGAAGTCAGAAAATTATGGAGTCTAAGATGACAGCTGGAGAATTACTAAGAATTTACTGAATTAATGTAAATCTTCACTGGAAGAGCCGTTTTAAGTGTAAACTATTTTCTGTGAATTAAATATCTTGCAAAACTTATAAATTTTGATCATGAATTTGCAGGTTTTGGTTTTCAAGAGCTATTGAAAGTTATCTAAGAAGTGCTAATCCCTATGCTGACCAAGTATTCCTACTTAGGAGAGGTCTCTTGAAGGTAAGCTTGCTACTTCATTTGGTGCCAGATAGCCTCATCTCATAATTCCTTATTAGGGCTCTTTAGTTACTAAGTATATGAAAGTATATATGATGAACTTCAACATTTAACATTTTTAAGATAGTGTGTTGCCTGAAACTAGAGTTTATGGTACCAATGGCTGATTTTTTGTGTGATAATGTACTTGAGGTACTAGAGGTAGTAGGATAGTTGGCAGACAGCAGCCATCCATTGAGTTACTACTGTCCTGCTATATGAGTTTTCCAGCTAGATTGATTCTTCTCATCCATAACACTGCTGTCAGGTGACTTGAGAAGTGAGATGTACTGCAGTGGGTGTACTATCTCATGTTAGGTAGATAGACACTCCTCACTTATTGACCTACCTGTTTAATAACCATGCGGACTTATGACCATCTTTCCGACCAGTTCGTATTGTATGCTATACAAGAATTTTGGTTGCGGAAACGACAGTGCGCCATGCTTAATTTAGATGTTGAAGTGGAAGATATTGAAGAATTAGTGTAACATGTTGAGGGAGAGCTAACTAACGAAGATTATTTAATAGAGTTGGAAGTGCAGCAGCACTTGGAATAGGGAGAAGAGGAAAGAATGGAAGAAGTGCAAAAGTTCACTGTAAAGGGGTTAGCTGGTGTGTTCTGGAAAGTGAATGCAGCTATATTAGAACTAGAGGGTATCGACCCAAATGTTGAATGGCTGATGAAGGTGGAGTGGCAAATGGATGAACTTTTACAATGCTATCGTGAAATTCATGAAAAAAAGAAAATTACAAAGCAGACCACACTAATTGGGTTCTTCTCAAAGCTACACCCTGAACCCCTACCACTACAAGTCATTCCATTTCCTCGCCATCATCTCCCTTATCCAGGCCCTCTACAGCTCCTGAGAACCCTGCTGATAACTCCGATGATGATGCTTCTCGCTTATCGACTAATTTGCTTAACGACCTAGTCTTAGGAACGGAATTCGGTCATTAAGTGAGGAGTGCCTATACTGTGTTTTTCAGCTGTCTCTGCATTAGGATTGATAAAGCTACAGGTGGCAAGTCTCCTTCAATAAATGTGATTGTGCATGTGTGACTGTTACTATAGTTAACATGTTTTTAGGTGGGGTAAAAGAAATGAATGCTAGGGTGTTGGAGACTGGTGCTAGATTTTAAGTTACTGGCTCTGGGAGATTCTGTAAAGTTACAAATATTGATGGAGGAATTTGGGATTATATGTAGAAGAGGGAAATTAAAGGTGAATATAGAAAAAGAGGAAGATGATGAGAGTAACAAAAAGTATTAACAATGAAAGAATGAGTATCACATTGGACAAAGTGAATGTACTTAAATATTTGGGCATGAAGATGTTGGCAGATTGGTCTATGAAAGTCAAGGTGAACCATAGAATAAATGAGAGGGAAAAAGAGTAGGTGATGTGTTAAGGTTTCTATGGAGAGAAAGAAGTTTATCTATAGAGGTAAAAAAGGAGACTGCACCAGGGTATAGTGGTGCCAACACTTTTATATGGATGTGAAGCATGAGCTTTAAACATTGCAGCAAGAAGGCTAAGGGCAGTGAAGATATCAGGTTTGAGAAAAATGTTTGGTTTAAATCTGATGCATGAAATTCATATTGTAGAAATTAGAATATAGCGTGCGGCTACCAAAGGTATAATTCATAGGGCTGAGAAGGGGTTGTTGAGGTGCTTTGGGCATTTAGAGAGGATGAAGCAGAATTGGATGACCAAGAGGGTATGTAAATCTGGGGTGAAAGAATGGAAGGGTAGTGCTCATCCCTAGAAGGATTGAGGGGTAAAGAAGGTTTTGAGAGCATCCAACAGGTTTGTATCAGTGTCTGGTAGTATCAAGGGTAGGCTTGGGTAGATTCATCCTTACAAGAGGTTTTTATGACTTCACATGCTGTTGAAGTATGAACTAGATAACATTTGTGTAGGGATTCAGAAAACATCCTCATCTCATTTTCAGGAGGGATGGGGATGTTTCTGTTAGAAGGGTCATTTTGAATATGAGGTCTGTACACTTGTACTAAGACAGTTATTAAATGACTGGTCGTGAAAGCGTTTCCATTTTAGCATCGCTGTACCTTGATAAGAGATAGCTGGTGTTTAAAAAAATGTACCTATTATACTGACACCTCCAAATATGGAAAACACACAGATAGCATAGCTGTTTTGTAAATGCCTCGTCTTTGACTGTGCCTTAATTAAGGAAGAGCCCATTTCCCATACTGTGGTATCAATGCACCATGCAGAAACAAGCAGGTATATACAAAGGAAAATCACAGTCAGCAGAATTCGATCCCACTGCAGGGAGACTGTCAGGGTTCCCAACATGACACACTACACTGCTCTGCCACAAATGCTTGTAAAGGATGAAAGTTGAAAGTGAACATAGATAAGAGTAAGGTGATGAGGGTATCAAATAAGGTGGGTAAAGAAAAATTAGGTATCACATTAGAGGGAGGGAGTATGGAAGAAGTGAATGTGTTCAGATATTTGGGAGTAGACTTGTCAGCATATGGGTTTATGAAGGACAAGGTTAACCATAGAATTGATGAAGGAAAAAAGCTGAGTAGTGCATTGAGGTATCTGAAGACAAAAAACTATCCATGGAGACGAAGGGAATGTATGAGAGTGCTATAGTGGTACAACACTCTTATATGGGTGGGAAGCATGGGTTGTAAATGCTGCAGCAAGGAGGAGGCTGGAGGCAGTGGAGATGTCATGTCTAAGGGCAATGTGTTGTGTAAATATTACGTAGAGACTTCATAGTATGGAAATTAGGAGGAGGTGTGGAGTTACTAAAAGTATTACTCAGAGGGGTTGTTGAGGTGGTTTGGTCATTTAGAGGGGAAGGAGCAAAATAGAATGACTTGCAGGGTGTATAAATCTGTAGTGGAGGGGAGGAGGGGTAGGGGTCATCCTAGGAAAGGATGGTGGGAGGGGGTAAAAGAGGTTCTGTATGCAAGTGGCTCACACATGCAGCAGGCATGTATGTGCATGTTAGATAGGAATGAATGGAGAAGAATGGTGTTTAGGACCTGACAAGCTGTTGGAATGTGAGCATGGCAATATTCTGTGAGAGGATTCAGGGAAACTGGTTAGCTGGACTTGAGTCCTAGAAGTGGGAAGTACAATGACTGCACTTTAAAGGAGGGGTTTGGAATATTGGCTATTTAGAATGACATCTAAACTGTTGTTTCTGAGTGCTTTTGCAAAGAGTGATTGTGTGAATGATGGTGAAAGTGTTTCTTTTTTTTTGGGTCACCCTGCCTCAGTGTTAAAATAAAAAAATGCTCTACATTTATTATTGAAGAGTTTAGAACTTGCTTTATTTTTCAGCACCTGGCAGGCTCTTTACTGCAGTGTGATCCTGGACCAAGTCAAAAAGAGGTATTACAGTCTACCTTTGATCTTCTTGGAGAACTGCTCAAATTTAATGTAGAAGCTTATCGTAGATTAGACAGCATTATATCTACGGATCCTAAAGTAAGTTGACTATAAATGTATTTTAATGCTTGAAATAAAAAGGAGTTTAATTTATCCAGATGCCATACAATGACATTACATATTAAAATTCACTTTTCATTTCTTAATTTTAATTTTTTTTTTTAAGTGTAATATCACTATTTATACAGGAGAGGCTTTCATTGTTTCTCATACTAACTCTCTCATAAAGAAAATTGCAGCCAGTAGTAGTATTGTGTTGCTTTTATACAGTTGTTTAACCCTTCAACTGTCCAAACGTAGATCTATGTCCACGTGTGGGCGGCTCTGAACGTAGATCTACTTTTTTTTTTTTTACATGCTTTCAAATGGGGAAAATAAAGGTCAGAGCGCTACGCATGTGAACGTAGATCTACGTTTGGACAGTTTAAGGGTTAAACCTGAGCAATTTCTTAATTATTTTTGTGTAAGCAATGCTAAATGCTGGCAGGATTACAAAAGGAATCACTTTTCAGAATGTTTCATGTGTCTGTTAGATATTCTCTGTATGCTTCCATTAATAAGAGGTTATGATACACAGTAATTGCCCTCACCCAAAATTAAGATTATCATCACTCCTACTTGTGGTTCAGACAAGTGTCAAACACACAGTTGTTAAAACAAAAAAAAAAGTTGACTGCCAGTTACTGCATTATATTTGACACTCAAAGTGTATTAGGGACTCTGGTAGGCAGAAGGAAAAATTGCAGTGCAATTGAATTAAAGCAGAACTAATGCATTCAAGATCCATGGCAAAAAATCAGTTTATCTGGATGACTTTACTTGTTTATACCATGTTGTCACTACATCAGTGGCATCAACAAAACACTTAAGATTTTCTTTCACCAAATAGCAAACCATGCTTAAATGATGTAATGAGTTGGGGTGTCTTGGTTAAGGATATCTGAATTTTGCATCTAATTTGTTTTAACCATTATAGTTTATTTAACCTTGGGAGTAGGTTGGTACACAGCAACTGTCCAGGGAGGTACTATCATTCTGCCAAGTGAGTGTGAAATGGAAGCCTGTAATTGTTTTGCATGATGGTAGGATTGCTGGTATCTTTTCTCTGTCTCATAAAAATGCAGGATTTCAGGTACATCTTGCTACATCTACTTATACGTAGGTCACGCTACGCATACATGTACACACACATACGTATATGCATACTCATACTCCTCTGGGTTTTCTTACTAGTTCTTGTTCTTGTTGTTTATTTCTGCTTATCTCCATGGGGAAGTTGTACGAGGCAACTAAAATGGCGGGGGCATGGGGCTTGTAACCCCTTCTTCTGTATATATTACTAAATTTAAAAGGAGAAACTTTTGTTTTTCCTTTTGAGCCACCTAGCCTCAGTGGGATACAGCCTGTTTGTTGAAAGTAGTAGTTTATTTAGCACTTCAACAGGCTATTAACCCTTAAATGGTCCAAACGTATATATACGTTTTTTCAACATCTGAAAGTATGTAAAAAAATGTAGATCTTTTTTGTTTTACATTTGAAAACGTGTAAAAAAAACTTTTATCTACATTTTTTTTTTGTTATATTTCAAAATATGTAAAAAAAAGTAGATCTACTTTTGTAGCACTACGAATTTGAACGTCGATCTCTTTGGACCATTTAAGGGTTAAAATTTAATTCCACATTATAAAAATCTCCAGTTTAACACTGATCACATACAACTAATATATATTGCATATAATGAATTTATGATATCAATGGGATATAGCATAATAGCTGATTGGCATAATGCAAACCCACATAGAGTGAGGAAAAAACTTGTATATTTGAGAAAGGAAGTTTGATAATTTTCTTTCAAAATAATGTTGTATACCTTACCTCCAGCTAGTCAGTGTGGGTGGTCTTCAGCTGTGTTAGTACAGTGAAACCTCTCCTTGCGAATTTAACCCGTTCCATGACCTTGCTCGCAACTGGATTCGCTTGTTTGCAGAGACAATTTTCCTCATTTAAATTAATTGAAATGCAATTAATCCGTTCCATTGTAATTCTGTACTTCAATAATTTTGCTAATATCAACTCTATGGCTTATTTATCTATCTCACTTCATCTAATGTGACATAATAAACAATATAAATAACATAGAAACCTGATATATACTCTAAAATGATGAATTAAATATGTAATTCATGTAGTGGTATGGGCGGTGTCGGTGGTGGACGAAAGTTTGTCTGGAGACCGGACAAAATACTTCTTGAATAATTTCTCTAATATCATATATATGGCTTATTTATCTATTACAGTTCATCTAATATGACATAATAAACAATATAAATAACATAGAAACCTGATATGTCATGTGGTGGCGGCCAAAGAGAGTTTGTCTGGAGACAGGACAAAATACTACTTGAATATTTCGCTATCGTCAACTTTACGGCTTATTTGTCTATCACAGTTCATCTAATATGAAATAATAAACAATTTTTTTTTTTCAACAAGTTGGCCGTCTCCCACCGAGGCAGGGTGACCCAAAAAGAAAGAAAATCCCCAAAAAGAAAATACTTTCATCATTCAACACTTTCACCTCACTCACACATAATCACTGTTTTTGCAGAGGTGCCCAGAATACAACAGTTTAGAAGTATATACTACATATAAAAATACACAATATATCCCTTCAAACTGCCAATATCCCAAAGCCCTCCTTTAGAGTGCAGGCATTGTACTTCCCATTTCCAGGAGTCAAGTCCGGTTATATAAAATAACCAGTTTCCCTGAATCCCTTCACTAAATATTACCCTGCTCACACTCCAACAGCTCGTCAGGTCCCAAATACCATTCGTCTCCATTCACTCCTATCTAATATGCTCATGCACGCTTGCTGGAAGTACAAACCCCTCGCCCACAACACCTCCTTTACCCCCTCCTTCCAACCTTTTCAAGGATGACCCCTACCCTGCCTTCTTTCCCCTACAGATTTATACGCTCTCCATGTCATTCTACTTAGATCCATTCTCTCTAAATGACCAAACCACCTCAACAAACCCTCTTCAGCCCTCTGACTAATACTTTTATTAACTCCACACCTTCTCCTAATTTCCACACTCCGAGTTTTCTGCATAATACAGTGGACCCCCGCATAACGATGGCATCACATAGCGATTATTTCGCATACCGCTTACTTTAATTGCAAAAATTTTGCCTCACATACCGCTTAAAAACCCGCTTACCGATTTTCTTCTGAGACGCGCTCACATGTTCCGCCGGTGGCATTGTTTACCAGCCAGCCTCCGCGGTAACATCCAAGCATACAATCGGAATATTTCGTATTATTACAGTGTTTTCGGTGCTTTTTCTGGAAAATAAGTGACCATAGGCCCCAAGAAAGCTTCTAGTGCCAACCCTACAGCAATAAGGGTGAGAATTACAATAGAGATGAAGAAAAAGATCATTGATAAGTATGAAAGTGGAGTGCATGTCTCCGAGCTGGCCAGTTGTATAATAAACCCCAATCAACCATCGCTACTATTGGTGGTACAGCTGCTGCTGCTGCTGCACTGTCAGCTGCTGCTGCTGCTGCACTGTCAGCTGCTGCTGCTGCTGTAGCACCGTTGTTGGTGTGGCTTATTGAGAATACCAAGAAACAATTAACCCCAGAGGATTTGCCACCCAGGATAACCCAAAAAAGTCAGTGTCATCGAAGACTGTCTAACTTATTTCCATTGGGGTCCTTAATCTTATCTCCCAGGATGCAACCCACACAAGTCGACTAACACCCAGGTGAACAGGGAAAAATGCCTGGAACTAGTGCTCATATTGGTGAATTTAAAGCCAGCAAAGGTTGGTTTGAGAGATTTAAGAATCGTAGTGGCATACACAGTGTGATAAGGCCTGTTCTGGAAGAAAATGCCAAACAGGACCTACAGTACTCAGGAGGAAAAGGCACTCCCAGGACACAGTGTCTCATCAGTCATTGCTGCATCTTCAATAAAGGTAAGTGTCATTTATTCTTCATTTAGTAGACTAGTACATGCACAATATATACTGTGCATGTACTACTCTACTATTGTGCATGTATCCTTCTCTTTGTGTGTGGGAAAATGTATATTTCATGTGGTAAAATTTTTTTTTTCATACTTTTGGGTGTCTTGCACGGATTAATTTTATTTCCATTATTTCTTATGGGGAAAATTCATTCACATAACGATTATTTCGCATAACAATTACCCCTCTTGCACGGATTAAAATCGTTAACCGGGGGTCCACTGTACAGTGGACCTCCGGTTAACGATATTTTTTCATTCCAGAAGTATGTTCAGGTGCCAGTACTGACCGAATTTGTTCCCATAAGGAATATTGTGAAGTAGATTAGTCCATTTCAGACCCCCAAACATACACGTACAAACGCACTTACATAAATACAGTGGACCCCCGCATAGCGATATTAATCCGTGCAAGAGAGCTCATTGTTATGCGAAATTATTGTTATGCGAATGAATTTTCCCCATAAGAAATAATGGAAATCAAATTAATCTGTGCAAGACACCCAAAAGTATGAAAAAAAAATTTTACCACATGAAATACACATTTTCCTACACACAAAGAGAAGGATACATGCACAATAGTATAGTAGTACATGCACAATATATATTGTGCATGTACTACTCTACTAAATGAAGAATAAATGACACCTTTATTGAAGATGCAGCAATGACTGATGAGACACTGTGTCCTGGGAGTGCCTTTTCCTCCTGAGTACTGTAGGCCCTGTTTGGCATTTTCTTCCAGAACAGGCCTTATCACACTGTGTATGCCACTACAATTCTTAAATCTCTCAAACCAACCTTTGCTGGCTTTAAATTCACCAATATGAGCACTAGTTCCAGGCATTTTTTCCCTGTTCACCTGAGTGTTAGTCGACTGCTGTGGGTTGCATCCTGGGAGACAAGATTAAGGACCCCAGTGGAAATAAGTTAGACAGTCTTCGATGACACTGACTTTTTTGGGTTATCCTGGGTGGCAAATCCTCTGGGGTTAATTGTTTC